TCGGGGGGGGGGGGGGGGGGGTACGCATGTTGTCATGGGGTCAAGGGTCGTGCTCAGGGGCAAGGAGGAGGCTCGTCGGTACATGCCCGAGGACCGCCAGACATCCGTGGCACGTGCAATCGAAGTCGCCGCGACTGTTGGTATTTTTTTCGGGGAGGGGAGAGAAGGCGTGTTTGGCCTGTGACCACGGACGAAGTTGTCGTCAGCAGTGGACCGATGCGGACGTTTGAAGGAGGTACGGAGCAGAGATCGGAACGGTTTTTAATGTGAAAACAGTTCAACAATTGGGGGCCATTGGTAAAACGAAGACAACCAAACGAGTCATTGTCATCAACAACGGCAGCAGCAGCGGCAATCACGGTGTGAACCTACAACAGCAGCAGTCACCTGAAACTTCAAGCGTCGTGTGTCGTTGTGTCTGTCTGGTTTGTTTCTTGCAGGAGGAGGCGTTTTTCCTGGCCCAGCTGTTCTTCGCGATGGCGGCGCCGCTCTTCTTCTCCCGCGTGCTGTTCCTGGCGCAGATCGACGAGAACCTCGGGCTCATGGTCCAGGTGGGCAGATGTCGATCGATGTTGTAGGGGGTTCGTGTTCTTTCCGATGTTTCAGTACTGCGGTCATCTGTTTCGTTTGGCGGCCGAAGAATTTTGGGCCGCGTCACGAGTTGAGCTTGCGTGGGCAGAATAGCACGATGGGACTGTTGTAGCTGGCGCCGCCCCCCCCCCCGTGCGTACCATTAATGTTGACCGTGTCCGTGATTTTTGGCGTGGATACCTCTCTCGGACATGCGCGCGCACATAGATCCTCTCTGTACTGCAGCATCCAACGGGGGTCCAGTGCATAACACCCCCGTACCTCCCGGCGAATGCTTTACCGCCTCGTCGTCAACCTCGAGTTTCAAAACCCGAATAGCGTTCGCCCACGTGCAAACCCTTGGCCCGAAATCGCGAAGCCCCCACCAACTCATCCCCTGCTCATCCCTTCCCGTGGCTTCTCAACGCTCAAGTCTGTCCAAATCTTCCGTGTCTCCAACCCGAAAATACTTGCACGCTTTCTTTTTTGTGCCAATTCGATTCACGGCCTTTTTCTGTTTTGCGTGGCAGATCCTCTTCCGAATGCTGAAGGAAGTCGTGCGGTTCGGAGTGGTGATCGGAGTGATCCTGCTCGGGTTCGCGATGGCCATGTTCGCCCTGTTCGGCGGGACCACCCCTAGCCTCGATGACGACGATGGGTCGTCCTCCAACAGCCTTCCGGAGGAAGAAGAGGACACGGAGGGGGTGCTGTGGTTTAACCGCGGGGGGGCACGGTGAGATGGGGGGGGGGGGGGCTCCGGGGGTGCGTCGTTGGTGTCTTGCACCGCTGGCTCGTGTGGTTGAGGAGGATGTTGTTTTGTCGCTGCTGGTAAATGTTGGTATGGGCATGGAGTGTTGCTGCTGCTGCTGCTGCTGCTGCTGCTGCTGTTGGTGCTGTTGGTGCTGTTGGAGCCTGGTATCTCCGTCTTGATCCCCCTACCACGTCGTTGCTTGGTAGCGGGTCTTCGTGTGTTGCGATGTACATACAGGGATTCGCGGTCACTTCCCGCAGCCGCAGCCGGAGAGGTTGGGGGCAGCTAGACAGACACGAAGCAGAGGCACTGGAGAGAACCAACCACATGTTTTGGAGAGGTTCGATTCAACCAAGACGCCGTCCAGCCGTCCTACCCACCAGTGGAGAGACCCTCCCTCCCTCCCTCCCTCTCTCCCTCTCTCTCGCTTTCACGCGAAAACCTAAACCCACTCTTTGTGGTGACCTTATTTGCTCTTGTCTTTCATCTGTGCTGACGATCTTGTGGCATCGCCATCGCTTTTTGCTTCTTTTTTCTTTTGGTGTATGAGCAGCGGTCTCCTTACGAGCAGCGGCGACAACTCCGCCACCCTGGACCCGATGTCGTTCGACATCTCCGAGATCTACCTCCCGTCCTTCTCCACCTTCCCGGAGTCGGCGCTGACCATGTTCCGCGCCATGTTCGGAGACTTCGACTTCAACGAGTTCTCCGGCGTCAGGTGCGGGGCAATTACTTTAGCAGAAAAAGCCAATTTGCAGGAGGACTATTGTAACCGTTTCTTGAGACCAAGATACTCGCGGTCATAGGTCTGTTTGATTGGTGGTGAAATTCGAAGAAATTGTAAGAGGCCGGCAAGGGTATCTTTATGGGGGCGGCACAAAGGACCCAGGAAAACACGTATGTTAGGGGGTGTCTTGCATTCCAAAGTACGTACACAATTTGTCGGGTTTTTTTTTTTTTCGGGAAGACCTCGGCATCACACTTCTAGAACCCTTTTTCTTCGCGTCATGGGGAACTAAGTAGCAACCCGTTCCCCGCCCCCGCGCCGCCTCTCGCAACAGATACGGCTCGGCTGGAGTTGGACTGATGGTGGCGTTCCTGACCGTGATGGGAATCGTGCTGCTGAACCTCCTCATCGCCTTCCTCACGGGAGCGCACTCGGAAGTCCGTAGCCAGGCCAAGGCGAAGGTGGGTTTGCTCCCTCTGCTGCTTGCAGCTGCTAGAAACAGCGATGATGTTGTTTTCGTTTTCGTCGTTATCGTTATCGTTGTTGTTGTTGTCGTTGTCGTTGTCGTTGTTGTTGTTGTTGTTGTTGCTTCGTCTGCCTTGCTCCCGTCGTCCTTTATCCTCATTCTCGTTCTCGTTCTCGCTATTGCCCCGCACGCCCGCACACCCGCAGTTCCACTTCACCCGCACGCAGATCGTCCAGCAGTGGAACCGTGTCGTCGAGCACGACGTCCTACCGTCGCCGCTCAACCTGGTCCACCTCACCACCTGCCTGCTCCTCAAGCCCTGCGTGCCCAAGAGCAAGTACCCCCTGCTCATGATGCGCATCGGCTGCTTCCTGTTCTGGCTGGTGATGGGGCCGCTGGGGGCGGCCCTCGCGATCGCCATGTGGTTTGTGTCCATCCCGTGGAGTATCTGGCACCTTTTGTTCGGGGGGCAGGTGCGGTGCTGTCTTGCGTTGGGCGATGTGGGTGTGGAAGGGGAAGGTTGAAGTGTTGGTGTCACACATTTTGATATGGTGCTCTTTTATTTTGTGTGGTATTATCATCTAGACGAGTATTTTTCGTAATGAAGAATTGAGGCGATTTGTGTTTTCCGGGCTCTCTGGACGGGAATGGGAAGCAGGAATGTTGGCGTGTTTTTTTTGTTCAACGCCTTGTGTACCGCCCTGTGACTGACGGCTTGCTGACTACAACGCTACCGTCCTTGTCGACACGCAGGCTTCGAAAGAAGTGGACCGCAAGTCAGAGCGCCTCAAGTACGTCATCACCGCCCCCGGGCTCGTGATGATAGCACTTTTTCTTGGATTGCTCACCATATTCGTTGGGGTGAGTCCTCTTGTTGCCCTCGTTTTCTTGCGAAGGCACAACAAGTTCGTCTGTTGCACAGATTAACGATCAACTATGTGGCAATGTTGTTTGATGACCAACCTGGTTTTTGTTTATTTTTTTGCTACGAAGTAGTGCGGCTTGATTGTAGCGTAGAACTCTTGTGCTTGTTTTAGTTGTGTGAATGTGTAGTGTTTTGTTTCTACCCGTTCCGTTGAGCGATGTTCTGTTTCTTGCTAGGCGGTCTGCCTGTCTTTTCTTTCGTAACTCCCCGCAGCCTTCCTAAGTTCGTCGTAGGCAGCCAAAATAGTGTTGCTCATCTCGCTGCCTGTGAGAACCCTTGTTGCTTGGCTCTGCATTGCGAGAACACGTCGCACTGGTTCATGGTTCATTTTCTTGTGCGACGATTTTCCCTTGCCGTCGTATAATGATCACGCGCCGCCGTTCCCCGCCGTGTTTTTTTCGTTGTTGTTGCTGTTGCTGGTTATTTGTTCATTTATAGGACGGGAGCTCCGACGGCACCAGCGGTCTCGGAAAGCATTCCTCGAGGAACGCTCGCAAGGACAAGCTCCAGAGGGGGGGAGACTACGACCTCGCGGGTCTGCTGAAGAGGCTTGCCAACATCGGGGTGGATGACCTCCGGCGGCAGCTTAAGAACCCGCTCAAGGACTCGCAGGCACGCCGTTGTTGTGGTTGTTAGTCTGGAGGTTGTGGTTTCCATTGCTGCTGCTGCTGCTACTGCTCGATAATTCGACGAAATCTTTTCGCGTTTTTTTTTTCATCTCTGTATTTCGAATGAATACGATTCGCGACCTGAATTGGCCAGCTATGGCGCGTTCGATGCCAGAACTAACCGCAGAGAGCCCGCACCTCACAGGTTCTGCCTCGAGACGCCAAGATGGGCACGACCGTAGAGCACGTCAAGCAGCTCCGCGACGACATCACCGTCACGACCGCCAACAGCTTCCGGGAGTCGTTCCGGGAATCGGGCAAGATGGCGGAGGACCGGGCGGCCCGCCTGGAGGCGAGGATGAGCTCCCTCGAGATTCACCTCGCCAAGATCGCCGCCCTGCTGGAGAACGGCAACACTTACAACGCCGGCGGCGGTAGCGGGAGTGGCAGCGGCAACGGCAGCGGCAGCGGGATTGCCACGGCGAGGGCGACTTCATCGTCGAACAACACGTCCGGGTATCGGTCGGGCGGCGGCTCGCAGCTCGGGGTGTCGCAACATAGGGGAGGGGGGGAGTGAGGGGAGGCGATAGAGTGGTGGTGATTTTTTTATCGTGCTTGTTTTTTTGCATGTGGGGTCGGGGTGTTACGTGTTGGTTCGAATCTGTGTTGGGTTTTAGTTTTCACGCGGTTTTTGGTGGTGTGTCCTAGGCGGCCGTCCGTGTGTGCGGGCAGCTGCTTATCGTGTTTTATGTTTTTTTTGGAGCGGCTGTAGGTTGGTCGAGTGCTGCCATCTGCCGCTGCAGCAGTGCCCTGCGCGATGTTTGTTTCGGGCGGAGACCGCCCTACCGCCAGCACACCAACGGCCCCTTCCTGGATGTTGTAGCGTTTTTCCTTCCGGGGGAGGAGGGGGCGACGGCGTAAGCAGAGTCCGTGTTCGGGGGGGGTAGGGTGGCACGGCGGGGGTCGTCTGTGAAAAAAACTCTGTGGCTGTTTTTTGGCCAAGCACGTATCCGTTTAAGCTGTCGGAGGTTTTTTGTGGTATGGGAAGATGGATCCGGTCGGGCGATCTATTGCCCAGAGACGTGGATCGCCACCGGTTTTATCCGTGACGGTATCGTCGGCGACCTCGTCCCAGCTGCTCGTTTTCTTCAGCTTCCACAGGTTGTGGCCGATGAACCGTAGTGGAGACCCCTTATACAGCGAAAGGGCAGGGCGATGTTGCCATCTATCCGTCTGTCTCACTTTGGGCCCGAAGGTCACGTCGTGGCGGTTAGACGAGAGAAGTCATGGAGAAAGCGGGACTGAACTACATACTTTTTTTTTCGCTTAGGATATGCAATACGTTTTTGAAACGTGTTGTAGGATGCCGGGAGCAACGCAGCGTGTTGTTGCATTATTCTCTTGTTCATATTTTCACCACAAGCAGCGACAGAGCGTGGCACCTCCACTCCCTCTTTCAGCGATTCATCGCTTGGTACTGATTTTTTTTGTGCGCGTGCCCCCCTCAATCGACCCCCGCCGACCGTGTCTATCTGTGCGGCATGCGGATTCGCTTTCCCATGGAGAATGCGTTGCTGATGAAGTGCAAAAGACCGTACACATGCACGAGCGGGCACGGATTGTGTGTGTTTGTACATGTTCATTTAGGCGTGTGTACGAGTGGTGTTTTATTTGTTTGTTTGTCGGGTATCAACCGCGTCGCGTTTTGGGGGAGTGGAGGTTGTAAGACCCTCCTTCTCTCGTGCCTCCTTTTTTTTGACGGGCGTCGTTTTTGGCAGCAGACGTATCCTGTGGTAAAACTCAAATCGTACTGAAGTAAGATGCGTACCTTAAGCAAATTTGGCCATGGGACAGGGAATAATAGCCTCTTAGGCTGCATGGTGGTGCGGCAGCTATAGTAGAGAGGAATAGTAGAGGGGGGGCGGAGGGCACAGGGGTCGCGAAACACGCGGCCCCGCACATTATTCCGTCGCACGCACGCACGTGTATCTTCCCGATCCACGGGGGTACGAATACGCCAAGCATGTGTGCGGGTTTCTTTGACGGAAATATTGTGCGTAATTTAGGTTTTGTGTTGCGCCTTTTTCCGCCCCAACGTTTTTGTGCGTGTGTTTCTTCCTGCCTAGCCTAGGAGTTAGCCTAGGAAAATTATTGCGTGGTAGGTTAGAAGTCGTGTCTGACAGGGAAACAGTGGGGACACGTGGTTTGGCGGCATCGGCGCCGCTTTGCCAGAAGGCGCTGAAGGCTGCAGAAGAGAGCTCTCTGTGAGTGTGTTCGGGGCGGTATTTGTTCAGGTTTATTGCTATAATAGGACACCAGTAATATGTGCATGATACTTATACTTTTATTGTGACAGCGGAGCCATAGGTCGGGGAGCCACGGGCGGTAGAATGTGGCGTTGTTCATGTCGTGGGTGAGACGCCACCATCAAAACACCGGGGCCTCAGCGTGCGCGTGTCTGCCAGTTTAACCGTGGGCGCCATGGAAAAGTCGGTTTAGCATGGGATTACTAGAGGGCGGGTGACTGCCATGATGCCTGCGTTTGACTGTCGACGGGAATTTTCCGCAGTTGTTGGAAGTTTCACCTTCTTCTCAGTGTGGACAAGGTTTTGCCGTCATTCTTGAAGGCGAAGATGACGAAGGCTGGTTGAGGAATGCACGTCGGAAATCCTCCCATTCGCCATCTGCTTTCTGCGCCTTTAGTTTGCGGGAGGGCACACCGGGAGTACCGTAGGCGATTCGGGTCCAAAAAGATCCTGCATTACGTTTTTGAAAGCGCCATGCATGCCGCAAACCACATCAATCCCACGACAGGGACAGGTACCTGTCTGGTGTGTGTAGGTTTCGCGTTGCATTCATTCTTGGTTTGTTGCCGCGCTTGCGGTGCTTCCCTCTCCTGGTGCCAGCCAGCCCGTTCACAGCTAGCCGTCGAGTGCATGCACCTCAACACGTGTGTCGTGGGTCGGGTTGTAGAGGGAAGAGCAGTGAAGGTTTTTGCTGGGGAAAGCGCCAGCTGCAGCAGCAGCAGCAGCGTTTGTGCGCCATAGACATTATCTTGTTGAATTTAGCTTGTTGATGGGTGTGTTTTTCGTGCCTTTTCTCATGGTGATGTCAAAAAGAGAAAATAGTTGTTAATCATGTCTCGATTCTTTGTTCTTTGTGTTCACGATTGGGTTGCTGTGCTTTTCTAAAAATAGCTTCTGCAGTATACTACGCGGTCGGCAGTAAGTGAAACGACACGTACCTTGCCGCATCGATTGGCAGCACTACACGTCCGTCCGTGTCCGACTACGCCAACAGTTGAGATGCGAATTCTCAGAGTGGTTAGGTTTTGTCATGCCCATGTACTCTGGACGCGGATATCCTTACGCCTTTCGGTACAATTGAGGGCACCAGCCCGGGTCATACATGAGCAAGAGCACGTCGCAGTTATTGGGTTCTCCGGCTTCATCGCGTGAAGGATTCATTCAGGTCATCCCTGCATCACGACCGCAAGGTCAAATTTTGCGTGCATACGAAACCATCGTTTTCCACGATCGTTTGGGCAGGTGGTGAGAAAATCCCCAGTTCGCGTGACAGCACCGATTTTCCACCCACGTGTCAACATCACCCTGTTGCGAGTTGCCCCACTGAACGACTTCAGCCACAGTCGTTTTGTGGCGAAGCAGAGGTTGTTGAAACCGTTTATGAACATGAATATGAGTGAATGAAATTGATGTGAAAATGAGGGTGGAAGTGCAGATGAAATGAAAAGGTATAGTGGCGGCTGAACACAGCGAGATGCCTCACGGCGTGCCTCCCCTTTGCTGTTGTGCACCCTTCGATTTGGGCGGCTGTCAGCATCAAGGCTTCTCAAGGCTTATTCATCCCTCGCCCTCACGATTGCGTGGATTCGCCTGTCAAGATATTTTTACTACAGTACAGTCTAGAGACCTATGGCGCCAATATCAGACGGAGATAGGCGTCCCGGCTGTGTTCACTGCTGCTGCCGACGGTTCACCCAAGGCGCGCACTATCTCCAGCCGGAAGATAGTAGTCTGTAGCAGAGGAGATAGTAGGCACGATAAGCTGTGATGACAGGATGCTTTGCGTTTGGTAGAGGGGGTGCATTGATTGGATATTATATGTTCACATGAGAACTGGTTTTCAGAGAAGTTCCCGAGGCGATAGGCTTGAAAATCGGTCATCATGCACAATGCTGAGTGTATAATTGACTACGGCACCGACTGATCAACCAGGAGTAGAGACGGTTACCAAGGACGACGTCCATTGGACGAGGCCCTTGTAGAGAAGTGGGCCAACGGCAGATCTAGGTTCTAAGAGCAAACCCAATGACCGAAGGGAGTACATATCATCGGGTTACATTAGGCCAATCAGAACGTCGGGTTGGTGTATATCAAAGCTGACGACTGCCTGTAACGACGTTTGAGGGAGGACCGTCCGGAAAGCTGGCTCCGTCAAGGGTCGCACGCACGCTCACTCTTGCTTCCCACCCTTAGGTTCTATTCATCTAGAGCTGTTTCCAGAACAGCTGAGAGTTTCAAGAGAGCTGACTGCACTGCAAAACTTCATTCACTAAAAAACGGAATCATGCACTTACGATAATTAAAAAGTTGGCAACATTGTGATACGAGTGAACAACCGAAACGAGATGGTACTGACATTGTTGAATCGAATTTGTCATAACATTGCGCACGGCTTTGGATGACAGGTCGCGCGAAGGTGATCATGATAACGGAAGATGGCGAGAGTGCGGAATGTATCCCCACAAACTCTTGGAATCTTGCCATACGCAACTTTTCACCTTAAGCTGGAGAATCTGAAGACAACATTGAAAAAACAACTGTATCGATTCTGGTGCTGGCACATACACACGAGGTTGCGAGGAAGGGACAGCGGGAAGAGCTGGAGGTACCCTTTGAACGGCAGAGGGAAAGATAAATAATGGGCAGAACAACGAGCCAAGAACAAGAAAGAGTTCTGACGACCGTCCAAAGCTCATAATGGCCTGATGGATACAATCAGGCGGCCTTGTGGTTTATTGTGTGAGTGGTTGTCATTTGGTTGAAGTGAGTGTTTCGTATATGTGTTCCAGTGAGCCTTTTAGATTGTATGAGGTTGGGTGTTCGGGAGTGTTCGGATGTGTGGAACGTGTCTGAACTGAGTTATTGGAATGTGTTTGGAGTGAGTGACCTGTGTTCGAAGGTGAGTGTATTGTTACTTGGCTTAAGTGAGTGTTGGGTATGAGTTGGAGTGGTTGTATCGTGTTTGTCTGAAGTGAGCGGTTGTTTGGTGTTTGGAGTGTTTTGTGTTTGGAGTGAGTAAAGTGGTACGTGTATTTGTTGTTCGGTTGAAGTAAGTGTCCGGCATGTGCTTGGAGTGAGTTATTGGCATGTGCCTGAAGTGATGGTTTGTTCGGGGGTTGGAGCGAGTCTTTCGTGTTGGGGGTGAGCATAGTGGTACGCGTTTAGTGTGTGTTTGAAAGGAATGTTTGTTCTGCGTTTGGAAGTGAGTGTATGCTATGTGTTTGGAGTGAGTGTGTGGCATGTGCTTGGATTGTGCATGTGTTTGCATGGTTTAGGAAAATCCATGTCGATAGATGCAACATTCTATACGAGACGGGATGAATCAACACTCTTCCGAATACTTCCGGGAAAAGTATTGTACGGAGAAAGTTGAGTGATAATGCCGGTAGAAAGCAGTATTCTACCAACCAACTGAGCTCGATTTTCAAGAAATCTTCACTTGTCCACACGTATCCATCATCCTATCAAAATGGGCGGCACTTGCAACTTTGGTTTCCAACATGTGGCTGTTGTTGTCTCGAAATCGGGAACCCGTAGGCGTAACACTACGCGCACACGAAAACAAAACAATTTGCATGTTTTTCGCTTGCCTGTACAAGGAACTTCGTGGGTGTAGAATAACAGCCAGATGTGTCTCAGACCTTCGGCCGATGGATTTCATTCCAAAGCGCGAAGCACAACCATCAGTTGATGCTTCGGTCAGCACTTCGTCAGCCTATGTCATACCTGCCGGCTGTGGTCTGCTGCAGCCGTACACACAACAAGAGGAGAACATGTTGGGCGAGTGCGAAAGCTAGTAGCCACAGCAGGTTGATAGGCATTCATACCGACCATGTAACAAAGTTCTTCCTATTACCGCCCAGAGTTCGTGTGTATTTCACTCATCCGATTGGCATTCATAACTAACTGATCATGTAGCAAACTTGTCTCCTACTATCGCCCAACGTTCCTGTGTATTTCACTCATTCGATTGCCCACGCTCGCCACAATGCGGACAGGAACAAACTCGATTTCTTCCTAGATATAGGATGTTCAGACACCTTGCATGAACACCCGAGGGACTTTGCCGTTAGTCAGAAAACTAGGCCCAAATCTCCACTTGTTCGGATACCTGTCAAGTACCTACCGTACGTACTGCCGACCACCGACGGGCGATTGTATTGGTGCTGTTGTCGAGCAGTTTCGGCGCAAACCTATACACCGCATTGTACCGCGGAAAAGATTTCAAGTCCTACATTCCAAAAACCTTCTCTGCTACCACGCCCAGTCTACTCTTGTACTCACCACCGGACTATTATAGCGACGCCAGAGGAGTTATTGCCCCCCGTCACCGTAAGGGATCCAGAGATCTGCGGGACTTTCCCGCATCTCGTGCTTCACCCCCGCCTCGATCTCGTCCATGGATCGGCGCTGCGTTGACATCCTGCTGGTACCGCCGCCACCGTCACTGCCGCCACTCCTAGACGACGTCAGTGGTTTTGGTGTGCATTCTTTTGGCCCTCGCAGGTCCACTATAGTGTAGTGTTGCTTGGGCCGTCCTCACAGCCTCTACTGTTGCCGGTGCTGTGCGTATATTCCCGCTGCCGCGGGAGTGTACATAGTCCACTGGTCGGGGGCGGTAGGGCGGGGCGGGGCGAAACATTCTGGTGGTCATCTTCCCCGTGTTGTTCGTGTTTTTTGGCTGCGGCGATCCCCTTGTTCGACCTTGTCTCTTCGACACTGTCGCTTCGGTGGTGCTTGCTGCCCGTTGGACGCCGTCGCTTAGAGCCTAGCTCGTGTAGGGGGTCGGCATGGGAATGGGTGTTAGCGTTGCAACAGTTCTATCCCTTGGTAGAGCTATGCGTGCAATGAGGTGTTGGCGCAGACTGCCACGGGATGGCAAACATCACTGGGATAACTAGCAGCGCCGGCAGATAACCTTCTTCGGCCAGAGCACAGATCTACCTAGTAAAATGCGGTAGGCGCACAATGGTATATCCGTATATCCGTAGACCACCCTGACACCCATCCAATCAATGCTGCTGCTGGAAGCCGTTGATTGCAGCAGCGGCACGGGAAGGACTCCCGGCTCTGGTCCTTGCGCCTGTTGCTGTGGTCTGGGAACAAATGTTCACATCCCATATCATCTCTCTGCCTCGGGGTGGCTTGACACAGAAGGAGAAGGTACACAACAGACTGCTGTGCCCTCTCCACGAAAGATCGCAGGTTCAGAGAAAGGACACCAGCCACCCGACAGTGGAGATATGCTGTCGTGCACATGTATATGACTGTGTTTTGTGCGTACCCCCTCTCTCCATCGCTCACTCTCTGGTGCGGTGGGGTGTGACGCGGTGTTTGTCCCCTCTCCAGCGTTTCTGGCACGGTGGGGGGGGGGGGTTGCATGTACCGCTGTGTAGGCAGTCGCCGCTCGTCCTCTGGTGCGGTGGTGCGGTTTGTGGCGTGTCTGTGTATGCTGTGTTGCAACAGCGAAAGTTTGCCTTCTTGTCCCCTCTCTCTTGTTTTGTGCCTGTGGTGTGCGCTGTGGTGCAGCGCGGCGTGTGCTGTACGGCAGCGCGGCGGGGTGTCCGTTTGTCCGTTGCGTGTGCTTGTTGCGGCGCCATCAACTATGTCAGCTTTCCGAACCTGTACGTGAAGCTCTACTGTGATTGGTCCGTCGCGGCGGCGGGACTACTACCAAGTTGGTACAAAGATCATTTTGGTTTTCCGCAGGTTCCGCAAGCATGTGTCAAAACGAAACGGAAACCCTCAAATCTCAAATCTCAAATCTCAAATCTCGTCGAAATTAATGTGCAACGTTCAAACCCTCTGTATGATCGAGCCGCTCGGCGGTAGCTAAGTCCAGGTGCTTGTCGCCCCACAGCTTTAAAACCTCCACCGAACCGTGGTTGTTTGACCAACAGCCGCATATCCAGCCGGTCGGTTGGCCAAATGGCGACATCTTGTCGGCCGAACGTCGGTGTCGGGGTTGCGTTGGTGGTCGTGTTGCAGTTCTTTGGGACCGAAACCTCTGCTTTCAGCACTGCCGTTTGTCTACGTAGCACTGATGCGCACGCGGCAGCGGCACGATTCCCTTCTCTCTTGGCCAGGACGGATGCATCATCGAGCGTAAACCTTGTTTCCCACAGAAATATTCACCGATGGTGTCGGGTCAACGTCATCAGTCCTACGGCCAGAACCACCTACAGGACCAGCTGCCTGCGGCCACGGTGGTGCCGCTTGGGGCTAAGCGCAATGGCGGACTCCAGTGGTGGCTCCGAATTCTCCAGGGACAACCAGGCGCTTACGGCAGGCCAGCGTGCAAAGTCGTCTTCTACCAATATTCTGCAGCGCATTTCCACGATCACGTCCAGTCGATTGCCAACAGCACCACCAGCAGCGGCATCACAACCAACACCTCCGCACTTGGAGTTGCTACCTTCCGATCCCATCGAGAGATTCTCCGGAGCTTCCAAACGCAGCAGACAGCCCAACATTTTTGGCAAGATTAGATCATGGGGCTCTCAAGGCTCGAATTTGGCAGAGAGGGCCCTTGGACCATCATCGTCTCTCATGGACCGCCTTGTCTCTGAGCTGCGTACTAGGACGTTGTTGTTAGACCCCCGGAATCAACGCCAACATCAGCAACGTTTCGGGAGTACTGTCAGTCAATCGATGCTGCATCATCAACATCAGCAACAACAGTCTGAAGCGGTTGATCGAGGGCTGCGAGAGCTGAGTGCTGCCATCGTACGGGTCGAGACAAAGCTTAGCTTGGATAGTTCAGAGGCCAGCCAACTAAGGGTAAGAGAAAGAGCTTGTGCGTGGGACGAGAAACAACGCCGGTATTGCAAGTAGGGATAGACTAACATAAGCAGTTGGCAGTACTCAAGGGGTCACTTTAGTTACAGTTCGGTGGCTGTGGGACCAAAAAAAGAACAAGGACTTGCTATTGTTCACTGGCGAGGGTTCCCTTGGAGCAGCTGCTGTAGCAACACGCAGCGGCCCTCTAAGTTAATTGAGAGGTGTAATACCATGAAATAATAAACACGACGAAATAATGCGATGCGGCGATTCCACGATTATTTCTTGGAATCAACGTCTTGATGGAGATACATGGTACAAAGTAGTTAACAGCGTATCAGGTGTGTGTGCAGCTTTTTCGCGTGTCCAGAGAAGAACGTTTTACGTGTAATAGACTATGTTGTTGTCTGGACAGTTCCCCGTCCCTTTGGTATTCGTGTCGGCAAATCTCCATCCAAACTATGGTAGAGTAGATCAACGTCAAGACGTCTCGCTTGATTCACGAGGTTGGTTCTTCCCTGGACCGCTCAGAATCCATACTCACTTGCTCTCGTCGTACCTACTCAGACTCACATGGTGGTGTGTACCTTTCCTCTGATGAGTGCAGCCGGCACTTGCAGCATTTTCTCTCCCTCCAACCCTGTTGTAGTTAATGGCTCCCTCCATGTCGAGAGAGCTGGCTGTGAGCCCACTTGCGCTTAGCATTGGCAATAAGGCGGGTGCCGACGAAGAGGAACCCTGTATCAGGCCTAGTTTCAACATAGCTCACACCGCTAACTTACAGTTTTCCTCAAGTACAATCAATGTTCTTTGAACCGCCTGGTGCCTTGAGCTAGTATTTCCTCGACCCTCGAACGAGTACATGCGGCAGTACGCCCAGGTTAGCCAAAAAACTAATCGATCGGTCTTAGAACTTTCTGCAACACCACCCTTGAAAGCGTAGCAGATTAGTCTCGAAAACGCACTGGTCTGCACCTGATTCCTTTCCAATGTTGATCTCTCTGAGTCTGCTTCTTAGGACCAACGTTTTGGACCCAGTCACCCACTTTCGTCTCCAAACGCGTTCTTGTCCCTATCCACAAGACCTGGTCGTCTTCAAAACAAGCATGCGCTGTCGATGCCATTTCCAGGAAGCCTTAAGAATGCTGCGATCTGAAAAGGAAGCCTATGTGCGGGAGAAGACCTCTACTGCCGCTCGAATGGAAGCGGTCTCCCGAGAATACGACATCTTGAATCGTAGAGTGGCGGTGGCGGAGGCTGAGCTCGGCCGGTGAGCTCCCGTTGTAGTGACTAACAACCTGATCGCTTCTGTAGGCTGTTTTGAAGAACACGGGGGCGGGGGCGCTACCAGCGGGAGAGAGGACGAGGAGTGAAACACAATAGCAGCGGTCATGTTCATCTATGTATTTACAGCAGGCAGCACGCACGGTCGTTCGCTCGATTTCTCAGTCTTCATCGAAGTACCTAACGCGCTCGTGGTAGGTCTCGGTGTCGACGCTTTTCATCTATGCAGACCCGAGATCGAGGCGGACCTATAGTTTGCGCCATATCAAGCTACCCTTGTGTCCACCCTCCTAATGCCCACTGCTTCCTCACCACACGCGGCTCGCGTGGGTTGTGATAGGCGCAGCGGGCGGTTGAGGAAGGCAGAAGTTGATCGTGAGAAAACACAGGCAACGCTTTCTGTCAGAGCGCAACAGCTAGCCACGGGCTTTGGCATGGAAAAGGAAAAGTTTTCTAGAGAGATGCAGTCCGCCGAGGCCCAACAGGGGACGGGAGGTGAGGGGTCCTGTCTGGTAGGGCCGCGGTTGCGCCGCTTGCATCACCCACGGGAAACATAAGGGAATATTGTGGCGTTGGACCGAACTGTGTTGTTAAGCTACACCAACTGTTGTGGCATTACCTCCACCCGCGCCTCGTATTGTTTCAGTCGCGCGACATTTGCGAATGATGCTTCCTCGTACCGCCGTCCGGAATACTAGGATAACTGAAATTCTTGTTGGGTGTCAAGCATACGAATACCGAGAACACCATGAATAACGTGTGTTTGTTATGGTTGGCTGTCAACCTCCCAAATTTTCCCTTTGTCCACTCGATGCCGACCTCTGTTTTATGGCGCGTCTATTGTACAACGACGGGGCCGACAGGGCCGGCAGCGGTAGCGGCAGAAAAGCACAAGATTGACCGCGGCTATCGTGAGCGACTTCGCGTTCTGTCCGACGGGCTAGCGTCTACGCAACTGCAGCTCGCGACTCTCAAGTCCAACAGGAGCAAGCTCGCAGCGCTCGAAGTCGAGGCTAGGTACGCGGGCACTCCGAGATTGATGCATTCCCCCATGATCTTCATCAAGCACCTATCTCGACACCTCGAAACCGGGCTAGCCCCGCATCAATGAAGCACCTATCTCGATACCTTCCCTGGACCAGATCGAAAGCTCTATGCGTTGCCCCCAAGAAGAGTGCCAAGTTGATCCCAAGTTTCTGTTTCGACTGTGACTGTCCGTCCCTAGAGTCGAGATGTACAGCCGGATGGGGGTGTTGAATATTGGTGTACAGTACTACAGTACAGTAGTGTGCAACGTCGAGGGAATCGGTTGAGGGGGGCCCGGTATCGTCGAACGTGGCGCGTCCCGACCGGAACAATGCCCGTTGTTGTCGAAACCTCTCGAGAGCGTCGTTTCGGCCAACGTGTACCACTACCTGTCGTCCCATACGCTATCTCCAGCACCGATCAACCACGCGTCCGTGAATGCGCCTTCCATCGTGCGCGTCACCTGGACAAGCAGGAAATGAACAGATGTACAAGAGTCTAGATCGGACGGTAAAACAACCTCTCGTTCTCGTTCCTTCACCCCTCACCCGACCACTAGCTCTTAGTTTGGGAATCAAACGCTCCTGGTATGTTGATGTCCATGTTCTTACGATTTCTTGTAGACTCGAGCTTTTCCCTGCCCAACAACGATCTTGCCTCCACTGAATACATCTATTGTTGAGTCACAGAGATAAAATTTTGTGGAAGACATAACGTCAACTAATAAGCCGAAAGCGTAGCCGGCATAGCCTGGGGTAGACATCCCGACGCACGAGCGAGCAAACAGCGAGCGAAAGGCTTGGCCGCTCATTGTGTGCTGTGAAAAGAAGATAATCACCTACGATATTCGCTTCAGTTCCTCCGTCATTTCAACAAATACTCCGTTATTGCGCCGCACCCTTGCCCACCCGTTCTTCCAGGAAAGATTTAACGACGCAAGTGGCTCGTCTCGAAGCCCAACTGAAGCGAGCAGGAGACGGCATTGAGAAGGAGAAGACGGACATGGAGAAGCTCCTGTTGAACCTATCAAACGCGCTCTCGGGCGTAGACTTTCAGCTCACGCAGTCGGCGGTAAGCTTCATCAACTTACTTATTGGGTTGAGGTGTGGGCTTTGTTTTGACTGGAGTGGGACGGGTTACGATAGGCTGTTGAACGTTTCACGTCGGGCCTCAACCGGGATTCGGTCATGTTTTCACCCACGGCTACAATATATTTATTTTTGCCATCATGAGGTGCAAAGGGCTTGTTTGAAATCCCACAGAGATATTATCGAGACATGCATGAATCACCCGCCCCCAGGAATACCGATCATCAAGAGACACACCGAGAGGACAGTGACGACGAAAACTGTTCATTTTTCCCGTCAGGGAATGACTCCGAGTCGCGAAACCAGCCGAGCGCTAAGACGGGCAAAGGAGGACTTCCGCCTGAACCAGCGCAGGTTAGCTAGGATTGTCGTCGTGCGGAACAGATGTTGGCAGGCACAACAAACACATTGGCCTTCATCAATAGCATAGGGATTGCGAGTGGACGACAACATGTCGTGGTACTGTACATGACATGAATGTTTGGCGCCAGCGGGCAAGACACACTCATGATCCCGGGCAGCGACGACACACCCTCGTCTATTTCTCGTTCATGTGCATTGAAACTCTCTTTCTGTCTCATTTTATCGCGTCTGGTGGTCCGTCTCGCACATGTCTCTGCGTGTTGTGCTGTTACCCACCTTCCCCAGAGTCAAGCTCCATCTGGAGAAACAGAGGCAGCGATATGATGCCACCTCAAGCGTCGTAGAAGAAGAAGCTCAGGTACCGAAACACAGCGAGTTATACTTTCCAAAATACCATCCCATCCGCCGTGAGCCTCATGCACTCTTGAAGTACTGCAAATGCCATCTCTCACACTCAATCATTGTATTTCGCCTCTTTTCGTCCCAACAACCCATTCTAGAGGCTGAAGAGCAAAACGAACGAGCTCGTCTCGCTTAGAGCCGAAGTGATCGAGCGGGAAGGCAAGGAGAAAGACCTCAAGTCAAACGTCGCAGTTCTGGGCAAAAGAGTTTCTTCCCTCGACCATGATCTCTGGTAGGTTTAACATGGGTTTCGTTCATACATGAGTGAAAGAGATTTTGACACTTCACTCGAGAAGCGACATACACATGTCGGGAGTTCGTAGACTCATTGTGTTCCACACTGTTGATAATGGCGACGAGACACTTCCACAAGGACGGGAAAAATGAGTTGGAACCTTGCATAGACCCCACTATAGCTGAAGCTGTAGCTGTGTTGGGTCCTGTCAAGTTCCGTTTCCCTCCGAATAGTCGCCGACATTTCACAGGTCGAGTCGTGTAGGATCAAGCAGTCAGTTCGACTGTGTGGTTCATATTTCAAAGGATTGATGCAACATGTGACACCAAATAGTTCGCATGGTCGGAACGCACACTACGATTATTACCCTTTGATCAATTTCTTGCGTAAGTAGAGGAAGCGGGAAAAGCTGCCGACAGGTCCATTACTGAACCCATGATAGCCCCCCGAGGTGATAACCCGACGGATGATTAAGTCAGTAGCCTGCGCGCTCTCACCGTTTTTGTTGTTCGTTTGTTTTTCCGGTGCGCCCCATTTGCATGGAACGTGCTCGAGAGAGCAGGAAAAATCGATCGGCCCTCGCTCACGAGCAGCGTCTACGACACGAGGCCCAGGCGGCCCTAGTGAAATCCGAGGAGGAATGGGAGAAACAGGTGACGTGATCACCAGGCCTTTTCACTCCCAATTTGGAGCAAGTTCTAGGCCGAAGGCTTCTACCCTTCAGCCCCCAGCTTTACCTAGGGGAGAGCATGGTGACGCGTGCTCCCATTGATTCGAATCCAACGTCAAACGCGGTCCGATGATGGCCACCCAAGAAAACATACCTCGAGGGATCCCTCCCGCTCCTGAATCTATGGGTAGAACCAACTACTCGAAGATCTTCATTCACGTCAGGTTTTGCTGCTACCTTGATGTGAATGACTGAGACTCGGCAAAAGCTGAAACAACATATGGCAGGCGGAAAAAATAAGACCTCCACCCTCTCCAACCCTTTCGTCTTTCCGTGGCAGACCAAGAGCCTGTGGAGCGAGCTGAGAGCAACGCGTGACGCCGCCACGAGCACCAGGCAGGTGTACGAAGGGACAGTCAAGCAGAGGGACGACTGGCGAAAGGCCATCGAAGAGGGAAAAAGAGCCAAAATAGAGGCCGCCGAACGGTACGTGGGGAGGAATTGAATATGTGTGTCTACATGGCATGGTTCCGATGCCGGCCGAAGCCGGCTAGCCGACGAAAGCAGGCAGCTTTCCCCCCGGGTGGGCGTTGATGTTTGTGTATTATTCTTGAGGTAGCATCGGCCAAGCTACAGAATCCGGTCAGTTTCACATCACAGAGCGGCTCAGAACGCAAACACCCCTCTTCCAGCCGGCGTGTGGGTATGGTGTATGTGATTGTCTGTGTACTGGTCCGACGATGAGTGGTTGAAACTGTGCCATCGACACGACAAGTGTCATCGTTTGTGGCCAGTGGAGTATAGCGACTGGTTTAAGCGGGCCAAAGTCTCCCGCGCGTTCCTCCATCCAGCTACGGATGGTGGGTGATGAAGGGATACCATGATGCGAGCATCTGTCTATGTGAACGTGGGAACCTAGCAGTGAAACGGCCGCCTTTTTTTTTTGGACGAGATCTCCCGTCTCTCGCTGAATCTTTCGATGGCATCGGTACACTCACGTGGTGAGAGCTAGAGTACGTGTTTGACCATAGAGCGTACCATTTTGGTGAACACTCTCTCTCGGGCCATTTTCACGTGTATTCATTTTTTTCTCGTTTTGGTGTTCGGCCATAAGGGCGGAGGCTTCTCGGGTGGCACTCACCGACGAAGTTCGGAGGAACAAGAGAGCAGCAGAGCGGCGAAACCGAGAGCTTGCACAGCTCAAGAAACAGGTATGTTGTTCACACGCGCTTGCTGACGCCAACAGAACGTAGTTCATTTCACTACAGCCGATGGAGAAAGGAGAGGCAACGAGATATATCCTCAATGACGCGACCCATCCGTCCGTGGGCCCCGACAATGGACGAAAAAAAGTTTCTCCAATGGCGATTGCTGCGAGGACTTGAATGCATAGAAATCATGATGTTGCAACATTTTGTGTGACATCACCGAAGTAAAATCATTGTGAATACTCACTGTCATTACTGATTTCCAGCTTTGCAGAAACCAAGAATCTGCGGGGTGAGAAATTCGGGGAGAAGCAGAAGCAAGGTTCCTCAAGATAAAGAGAGAGAGACACGATATGTGCGCCCACCCCCTCCCGCCCCTCGCCCATTCTATTGTGCCTGCTCTCCATCGACTTTGGTTGACCCGTCGGTTTACATCCCTCTCGATTTCGTAATAATATCTGGTACATGTTTCCAGGTCGTGGTTGCCAGCCGCAGCCTCACCCTGTCCGAGGAGGAGAGAGTAGCCGAGACGAACCGCCTGCAAGAGATGATCGACGCGCTTAAACTGGAAGCTTCACGGCAAGTTACCATACGAATGAAACGCAAAAACCACCTCATATCACGTTGCTTCGCGTACCTTCTTGCATGTACATAGAGCGGGGAAAGACTTTGAGTTGTAACACTGAAGGCTTGAAAACATTGGGGAGAAACTGCAGGTAGCTATGAATAGATTGCCCTCTTCGCCTGTTCGGGTCCCCGAGAAACTCCAGCGCAAGTCGTCTGGGTTGTTGCAAGCTTTTGTGCAAGATTGCTCAGGATTATGCACCATGTCCTCTGCACCAAACGGGGGCAGGGATGGTTAGTGTGTGGATTTGTCTGTGTATGCTACCAAGTGCGATGGATACTCCTCATTTGTCTCCCTTGGGGGGGAAAGCTACATTACACGAACGGACGGTGACATGGACCCTGTTGCACCGCCAAGAACGCCGAATAGCTCATCCAATGTACGATGGCGTATATTCCCTCATCCTTTCGTTCCTCTTAGAGCCCTCGACCTGTTGCTCGTTCAGCAAGGCAGCGTTTAAGAGGTGGAAATAAAAGAAATGTGATATATCTTGGTGCGCATTCAGAAAAATGCTGTTGCTCTGGGGCACCGTTGGTTACAATTTCCTTGTTCTTCGCTCTCGTTCCCGGTGTCTCTTGTTCGTAACCTACACCACCACCAGCTTGGAAAAAAACAACGAAGACAGCAAAAGCCTGGCCGCACGAACGGTTACGACGGTATCCGCAAGAGCATTCCGAAACGCCAGCCAGGCGTCCCAAACCCTCGCCCCGCAGGGACTCCTGAGCAAGCTGGTCGGGTCGATCAACCCACGCTTTCACCGAAGCAGTCCGAGCCCCGATACGTCCGCCGCCCCCACAACGGGGAAGGGAATAAAAGGCGGCGGTGGGGTGGGCGGCAGCGACGCTGGTGCTGCTACGGGTACTGTCCGACCCGCACCGAACGGGGCGAGAAGATCGCCCTCCCCCCAAGCCCCCGCGAGCACGATGGTCAGGGCTGGAAAGAGTGCGGGAAGGCGGGCGGTGTCCTCCTCCGCTCAGCCACCCTCGGGGCCTACGCCTCCGCTTGCTGAACGGACTGTGAAGGGCATCTTAACCAGGGTATTTCCCAGCAGAGGCGAGGCGGCGAAGAATTCCGGTGTCGATATCGGCGGCGTGGACGTGAAGGCCTCCGCTGCTGAGCAGCAGGCACACCACCAGCAAAAAAAACGCTCGGGGGGTACTGACAATGTCGTCAAGGTGGTGGCGCAGAAAGCAAGGGGGTGGGGGGCGAAGAAGCGCGCTGGTGCTCGCGAAACAGAAACATTCGCACACGAAGCTGTCGCCAGCGCCGACAATAGCAGAAACAAACACATGCTCAGCCGCTTCGGCAGGCAAAACCAAGACGCTGGGAAGTCCAAGTCCGCGTCGCCTCCTCCCTCGGCTAGCAGTGCCGAGAACGACAGGGTTACATGCGGGGCTGCGGGAGTTGCTCAGGCGCCGAACCCAAACAGCAGCGGTGGCAAGGTAGGACGGGGTTGGAGAGGTTCGTTGGCGAGAGATGCAAGGAAGACCCACCTGTCAGCCGCGCCGGTGGCGGTAGCTGAGGAGGTGGTCATTCCTGCGGCCGTGGCTCGTCCCGAGGCCCACCGGTCTCCCGATGTTGTCGATGCTGCTACTACGCCCAAGGCCGTCGCCGTGGGATCGACAGAAGTTGGAAACGGGAAGCTTCGCGGAGAGAAAAAGGTCGTCGCACCAAAAACCATCTCGGGGACACCGCCAAACAGCCCTGAACAACACAGTCTTGGCCGCGGCAGCCGCCGTCGACGCCGTCGTCATCGCCGCCGCCGCTCCGAAGAAGAAATTGGAGAGGAACTTCGGTGGCCCGACATCGACGTCGCCGAGTCTACCGATAATAACGACAGGACGGTTATGAACGGAATTCGCGCGCGGTGGGCGAAGCTTGTCGGTCGCGGCCCTCCACGGGCCGACCGGAGCGACGACAGCACCGTGAACGCCGGTGACGATATCGTCAACAACGACGACGGTGATGCGTCGTCAGTGACTGTAGCCGCAGCAGCTCCGAGGCGCTTGTTCCGGGGACGGTTCCGGCGACGGTTCCGGGGATGGTTCCGCGACGGGAGAGGTGGGCTGGAAACCGGCAATGAAGACGTTGACGACGACGTGCTAGATATGGTGGGGCTGGGGGCTTGATTGTGATAATGCTCTTTTCGGGTCAGAGCGGAAGCACCTGCCAGACTTTATGGGAATCAAGAAGTATGGGTCTTGCTCTTTGATCGCATTTGCTTCGGCTATACCAGTCGAACTTCGAATCCACGAGTAGAAAGAAGTGCCATGCACGCAGCACCATGGGTTACAGATATAGTATGCATAGGGGGGGGGGGGGGGATGCCTGTGTTGGTACGTGGTGGTCTCGGATCCTAACGAGAAGTCTCGGCTCGACACGGAAGATAGACCGTTAGGGGCATGTAATGTGCAATCCTGAACTCCTGTAATAAAACTGGACCGAAAAAGTACGCAAAAATTCTGTTCTGGTTTGTGTTCGTCAAATATGGGTTGTGGGCACAGGAATTAATACAGTAATATTTTGGTGTAGGCTACATGCGGTGGGTTGTGTTGCTGATGTGCCAAATGCGATTCTCCATTTTTCTTAGGCCGCGTCTTTGTAGACCGTTTAGACTTCACGTACTGCCCAGGGTGATGGTTTGCCGTTGGCATTACCTTCTCTCTTCGCATACGGCATCATAGTGCGTCGCCAAGCTCAACGTGATTCTGCTTCATGTCACCGCTGTCTGAAGCCTTGTGGCAACGTCGCGTTACGACGGGCATCTACGGGGTTACTTCAGACCGAGGCCAACAGTTGCTGCTGTTGTAGCCGTGGCGTATCTGTGAACCTCGGAAGGCTGTGAATGAACGTATGCTGTACAACATTTCAAGATTGCCGACGAACAAGTGACCCGGCGAAAACGACGCTTACAGCTGTCTCGGCGACCAACGAGATTATTGATGGATGTGCTGGGTGTGATGGGAGGGCGGCGGCGCTTCCGTGCACGCCTGACAGGTTTTTGTGCGCGTTGTATTGTCGCGCACGCGGCAGGGCCAGCAAGCGGAAGAAAAAGACCGCGCAGTTCGGCGCTAGCATCCCAAGGCTGCTGGCCGCCCGTTCATAGTGTATGTGATGCACCGTCCTGAAAATTGAAATCCACGAACATTTTCAAGCACATTCGTTTTTTATTCTATTTGACAACGGGACAGAAACTTTCGCGCACATGTATGGTACAAAAACAAATGTGTGCAAAAATACAACACCCATTAGCACGATGTCGACGGCACGCACACATTGTTGTGAGAGCGCGCGGCACCGTACCAGACAACGGCTCTTCCTTCGGGTCGTCACCGTCCCCCGTCAAGCCCTCAACCTCTGCGATGCCCGCAAACCCCCAAGAGGGCAAGCACAACACGCCGGCTGCCCACGAAAAGCGCTACATCCAAGAAGCAATCAACGCCAAACAGGAAGCCATGGTCGCGCCCCTGGACCTTCCAAGGGAGACAACAAAACCTACAAAGCAGTGATGAACATGCAAGCAATAACGAGAATAAAAAGTTCTCGCAATATCCCTTTCCAACACTAACCTCTCGGTCTCGGCACATCATCGCGGAACAACAAGCTAATCGATCGGCAGAATTGTGCGTACGTCAGGCACGCTACCCGACCCCACAGTAATGCCACATACAGCTGTTTAGAATGCGTTTCAAGCAGATACGAATATTGATTGCAAGCCGTTCGTACACTACAACGCGCGCAAAAAAGGTCGAAATATCTGAGAGTAACGGTTTCGTTTCTCTGAGAACAAGAACAGAAAACAACGACGACTGCTGAACCATCTCGTTTGTTGTTCAGCCGGGGGGCAAACTCTTTTGTTGAACAAAAACGCCAAAAGCAGCTGGAACAAAGGCCGACTATCTTTCAGCAGCAGCCGTGTTCACGGTCTGCGCGTCTTTTCCCGTTCATGCTTACAAAGTCTGACCAACCACTCTCTGCTGCAGGCCCACAAGAATCATACAGTACCACCTTCACTCCACCGAAAAATCCCTCAGCGCAATGAAAAGCTGATAAGGACAAACAACCAATATATTAGCGTAACACCGACGACACCGCCGTCACGGCAACACAGGAAAGACCATAACGTGCAGCCAAAAATAAACCACCAAAAGAGACATAATCGCCTCGCATATAACGCACAATACCTCGGCAACACCACCTCTACTTCATCCCGCAGGACCCAAGCAGGAACTGTTGTACCGATGCAATTGGACCGAAACACGCACGCACAAAGCACCAAACAACACGCTGCCCGCCCGCCATGTACAGCGATCAAAAAGGAGGCGGGTGGTTTCGGGGCACAAAGATTGAAGAGAACGGGAGCCGGCCCGGCCTTTTTCGACACTTGACACGCGGACACACGCGCGTCATAATCACAACGCGTCCTGTCCCAAACATCTCCTACTATTGCTAAGGCTAACGAGCCTGCTATGCTAAAACCAGACTACTACATTGCTAAGCTAAAAGCTGACTTTTTATCGTGTGGGCGGTAGCCGTACACTAGCGCTCGCACCATCAACCAGCGTTGGGCGGCGCACGCACCTCACCCAACGCTCTCGAGTCCGGGATGGAGGCCACCAGTCCATGGCACTCACGCACCCCCAAGCCTCAACATTGCATGTTTTCTATGTAGAGCTAAGTACCCCAGTTGATTCTGCGGCGCCCCCCTCCCCCTGCTGCCTGCCTCCTAGCGGCGCTGGATGAACAACAATCTATAAGCCCCTAATGCTCCTTCTCCTCCGAATCGACAAGAAACCTACCAGAGAAACGCAAAACGTGCCTACTCGCATCTGAAAGCTTTTTTTTTCCGGTGCCATACGGATCAAAGAAGGAGGAGGGCACAGCAATCCACGGGAACAAGTCGTTAATCACCCTTGCTTCACCACCACCAGTCCTTTTCAGTCCTTCAGTCCTTCAGTCCTTCAGTCCTTCGGCACAACTTCACTTCCACGACCATCTCGAAAGCTGACCTACCGCCGCCGCAGCGGGCGACACAATAATAGCTGCAGGTACCTCAAGAGCCGGCCGGCCCTACACCATCGTCCCGTGGCGACCCGCCGCCGCGGCCTCCGCCGCCGCGGCCGCCTCCCGCCCCTCCCGAGCCATCTCCTCGTGGTCCATGGCCAGGAGCTCGTCCATGTTCCCCTCGGCGATCATCTGCAGGGCCTCCTGGACGTCGTTGTCGGTCTGCCTCAGTGCCACCCTGGCGAAGTCGCGGCTGATTCCCCACGAGACCAGCGTCTCGACCGCGCCGGGATCGACCGCGTAGTAAAAACCCGACACCTCGGACTCGTCGGCGGCCGTGAGCTCCACCATCCGCTCCACCCCGGCGCGGTCTCGGATGATCGTGTGGCCCTCCTCCTCCGGCATGCTGGCCACGGCCGTCGCGTAACCCGGCAGCCCTCGCTGAGGCTCCAGCGGCGGCATGTCTCCCCCGTCGTAGAACCCGACAACACGGTCGTCCTCTTCGCCGTGGTTCCGGTCTGTTTCTTCGTCGTCGTCACCGCCACCGCCGCCGCCGCCGCCACCGCCGCCACCGCCGCCGCCACCGCCACCGCCGCCCACCGCCGCTCTTCCCGCGGACGAGGAGGCGTTACGGACCGGACACAGGAAGGACCCGGTCTCGTCACGCCGCCCAGAGGAGCGCAGCTTGTTCCGCCGCACGGCGAGGCAGATCCCGGCTCCGATCAGGAGCGCCGCCGCGGCGGACGACGCCGCGATGGTGGTGATGGTCGTCCCGCCGCTCCCGCCGCCGTCGACGTCGAGATCGCCGCCCTCCGGCACGTCGGTCTCTATACCGCCGGCCGCGCTGATGTCGTCGTCGCCGCCACCGAGGTGGCTCACCCCGGCGCCGCTTCCCGTCGAATCGCCGGAGAACTCGTCCTCATCGCCGGCCATGCTGGTGCCGCTGCCGCTCGTGCTCCCGGTGGCCGTCTCAACGGGGTCACTGGTCGGGGCAATGGCAACGCTGTCCCCCGTGGGCGCGCCGCCGCCGCCGCCGCCGCCGCCTCCGTCGGCCGATCCCGCCGCCACCAGCACGGCCGGGGCCGGCGTGGCCCCGTCAACCTCGCCGTCGGGGTCGGGCTCCTCCATCCCCACCCCGGTCCCTTGGGTCGAGTCGGTCTCCAGCACTAGGTCCGTCCAGTTCTTGGACATGCCGTGGAGAACCAGGCCGCCGCCAGCGGCCGCGACCCCGTACGCCTGGACGTCGGACTCCGTGAGGGTGCGCGCCCGCACGCCCACGACATGGTACCCTTCCTCGAGGTCGGAGCTCGGCACCGTGACCCGCTCGACCGGGTTCATGTAGTCCGCCAGGTCGTTCTCGTAGGTGAACTCGTACTTCTCGGCGCAGGACTCGTCGGCGTCGCACATGGTCGCGATCGTGTCGTGGTGGTTGGAGCGGTAGTACCGCCTCGCGTCCACCGACATGACGAACATGTCCAGGTCGTGGAGCAACTGTTTTGCGCGTTTCCGGCCCAGCGTTGGGGTATGTTGGTTGTCAAGCCGCACACGAGCGTTGGAGGGGCACAGCGACAACACAAGCAGAGCAAGGACGGAAGACGGGGCAGACAGAGGTCAGGCTCGTGCCGTTCACGAGCATTTATAACCTTGGGACGACGAAGACGGAGGAAGGTCATGAAGGTCATCATACTCTCCTGGGCCCAGCTGCTCGACCTCTGCCCACGATCACAACAACAGCCACCGTGCCCGCAACAGTACTTGTACGGGAAAATAGGACAAGACGAGGAAATGGACAAACACAACACGACCCCTTACACGGAAAACATGCCCGCCGTTACGAAACTCCACTCCCCCACTACCCCTCTACCGACAAGCGGAAACCCTCCCGCGACAGCAAAAAAACTCACGTTGTACGACGACACCGGGGACGGGGGGTCGAACCACGCCACCGTCACGGACACTGTCTTGCTGGCGTCCGACACGTAGATGAGGTAGTAGTGGAGCTCGTCCGACGCTAGCTCGTGCTCGTGGTAGAACGCGCCCATGGGGGCGCCCTCCGTAGGCACCGAGGCCGCTAGCTGGACGGCCCCGAAGCCTTGGGCGAAGTCCAGCACCGACATGTACTGCGTCTTGTCCTCTGCGGTCCCGCGCGCCCAAGGGAAGGATGAAGGAGAGGGGTCAAGGGTAGGGGAGGGTGTCCGTTGTGTACGGGCGAATACGCACTGCTTGATGCGGGTGCTGTTGTTGCCGCCGGCGCCGCCTCCTGTGCCCCTTCACACCATGTACATGCAGATGCACATACCGCGGGTTGCACAGAAATATCGAGATGCAACACGCGAAACCGTTCTACCGAACGAAGAAAACGCTGTGATAAAAAAAAATCGCTCTCGGATACCGCAAGCCGACTGACTCTCGACACACAAGCAAAAGTGGCAGCAGCAGCAGCAGCAGCGACCAGCAAAGCAAGAACCCATCCCCCCCTCTCCGACCCACGACCCCCCCGCTCGGCTCACCGTACGACACCATCTGCATGTCCCCCAGCCACATGGCCGAGTTAACCAGGACGGCCTTCACCAGGTACCCCGAAGGCGCGAACGCCTCGCACAGTCCCGCCTCCGCGTACACTCCCCCCGCGGCGGCAACGACCTCCTCGTTCTCATCGGTCCCGCCGCACAGCCCGGCACCGTCAAGGTAGCTCGCGAGGAACCCCTGCTCGAAGAACTGCCTCACGAGGGCGGCAGCGCCGGCCACCGCCGGCGCCGACATGGAGGTGCCGCCGAGGGAGTCGAGCGCGCAGGTCTCTTCGCCGGGGTCGGAGAGGGAGGCCTTCGCGGAGTGGACCATCAGGCCGGGGGCGACTACGTCCTGTCACGGGTGGGAAAAGAGATAATAGTCAATGATGACGTCTCGTTCGGCCAGAAAGAGGGTGTACTATAGAGACGACTTCCTGCCAGGTGGAAAGGACAAACACCACCAAAAAGGGCAAGGGTGAAGAACAAAAAATGACATCTAGTTCGGCCTAGCGTTGTTGATTTTCCCTCAGGAGGAAAAGCCGTAGGTAAGGTTGCCTCAGCAGCAGCAGCAGCAGCAGCAGCAGAGTTCCCTTCAAGTTTCAAAAACGAAACAGCAACAGCTGCGTGTTCAATGCTGCAATGGCCAAACCAAAACGCAACAGTAAATACTGTCAAACGCCATCGACGCCCCGTGGCGCAAAAAAGACACCTGACCACAGCCATCATCGCCATTTGACACTAAATTTCTTCGACGAAATGTGAATTTGGGCTCCCTCCCGTACCGGTTTTGCGGTGAACCGTCCCACGGGCCCGCGGGCCGAGAAGGGGGAAACCTGGAACATCTCCTCGTCGCTGGGCCAAAGCACGCCGTCGAAGTTGGAGGCAGCATCATCGTAGTAGGCGTAAGCGCGACCAGGTCCGCTGTTGGAGGCGCCTGAGGTTATTGATATTTTGTTCGTGTTGAGGACGGCCAAAGCGAGGCAGAGATACGGGCGAGGTGGGGGGGGGGGGGGGGGGGGGGGG